TCCAGACTCCTTCAACTTAAGAAAAAAGAAATATTTTATTTTGTTTAAGCCACTGTATATTTTTCTCATGTGGACTTATACTGTTGATTTTGAAATTGAAATTCAAAATGGAAAAAAAGGAAATATATACAGACACAAAAGTGATTTTAAAAAGAGTAACATAAAAACGTAAAACATACATGAGATTGATATATTTCTGAAAAATATAAAGTACCAAAATTGGCTCAAGGAAAATACAAATATAAGATAGTAACCATTAAAGAACTTGAAATAAGAAAAAAATGTTCTCCCTAGAATTCTTTTGGCTTAGATGGCCTATTTTATTTTATAACACATATATTAGCATTTTAAATAAAATAGCTAAGTGAATTCAATAATGCATTAAGAAAGTAAACTGTGATAGAATAGTATTTATTCCAGAAATCCATTTGGTTCACTACATTAAAGAAGAAAAATACAAATGATTATCTTAGTAGATACAAACAAAAGTTTTAATTTAAAATTTAATATCAATTTTTAATTGAAAAATTCCTTAAAACTTTCCTCAATTTGACCAATACTTTCTTTCAAAATCTATTTTTAATGGAAAAACTTTACATGCAGTTTCTTTAATATCAGAAAAAGGCAAGAATCCCAGTGGTAAACTACTTTTTAACACAATACTAAAGGCTCTGGCCAAAGCAATAATTCAGGAAACATTAAAAGTATAGTTACCATTTTGCTGTTGATTTTTCTTAGGGGTTAAAGGAAATCTGGAACAATAAAAAAAACTATACTATATAATAAAAGGATAATATGCAAATTAACCAAACAGTGGAACAACCAGTTGCTATGACACACACCGACCACCAAGGGGCAGACTCTCAATGCAGGAGCTGCTCCTTAGTGGTCAGTATGCTTCCACGGGGGGAGTGTCACTCAGCCAGAAGCCCTGAGCTAGGCTCATGGTGAGCTCAGCAGCTGGCAGGAGTTTCTCCTGCCTCTGCAGCAGTGCTAAGGATGTCTGACTGCTGGCTTAGGATATCCTCTGAGGGCTCTTGGACTGCCAGAGTGAATAGGCTGGGCTGAGGGACCCCTGCAAGTGCATAAATTTCATGCACCGGGCCTCTGGTGTGATATGAAAGTTCAGTATATTTTACAATTATAACTTATGAAATCAATAGCATTTGTCTACATGAGCAAAGCAAGTATAAAAAAATTATTGAACATAAGATACCATTCACAGTACTATAAAAACTATGAAATATTTAAACAGTGTTGCCAGGGAAGACATCTCCAATAATGAAACATTTGGGATGAGACCTGAATGAAATCAGTCAGTGAGGGAGATATCTGAAGAAAGATCATTCTGGTCAGAGTGACTTTGCATCATTTGATTCTCTTCTTTTCAACATGAGAATATTTATCTTTGAGTTCAGTAATGCTTTAACATTTCAATACTTTATCCAGGTCAAGAAAAAATCTTCAGATAATTCTTTGATAGCCTTGGCATAAGGCAGGACATTTTCCCCCTTTTAATTTTTTTTGAAATATATTTTTTATTAATTTCAGAGAAGAAGGGAGAGAAGGAGAGAGATAGAGAGAAAATCATTGATCGGCTGCCTCCTGCAAGCCCCTACTAGGGATCAAGTTGGCAACCTGGGCATGTTCCCTTAACCTGAATCGAACCTGGGACCTTTCAGTCTACAGGCCAATGATCTATTCTTGGAGCCAAACCAGCTAGGGTGACCCCTTTTTATTCTTTAACAATCTTAAAGTCAAATAATAAAAGACTGATAACTTGTCTAGAATGCCAAACCAATATCAGCACAGTAGAAATACAAATGACAAGCTTTATTAAAGAGTAAGTATTTTCATCTCTCTTTTCTTCACCCTATACCTCATCTGGCTAACCAACACCCTCCCCCACTTTCCTTCTGCCTCATCCTTTAATACTCAGCTCAAGGGTCAATATTCCCACAAAACCTTCCCTGGTGCCCAGCAATGGCATCCCTCTTTGATGTACCTACACATTTCTGAGCATGTCTGCATCATTGTTCTTACCATAATGTTTGGAAATTAATTGTAAACTGGACTTGTATGTTTTAATCTTTTCTTCCCAATTAATTTGTAAACATCAAAGGCAAGGTTATGATGTGAATGACATGAGATAACATAGATGAATTTCTTAAGCATCATTCCAGTCTTCCCTGGGTCTGCTACTTTCTCACTGAATGACTTTGTGTACATTTCTTAAACTCATTCCAATTTCACCTTTTGTATAGGATGATAACATTAATATCAATTTTACAATGTAGCTCTGAGAATTGAATGAGTTAGTACATTTAAGAAATGCAATTATAACTTGAATGTTTCATTCCATACTGCATCTAACTCAATGCATAAAAGTAACATGAAAGGTGTTACTTTAGTGTTTACATAGGGAATGATTGAATCCTACAGGGACTATTTTGTCAGAAGGAAGGCACCCTGGCTCTGTGGCAGTGGGGAGGCTGTCAATGGAGACAAAAACCATAGGAGATCCTTGGGGAAGGCAGACCACCCAGGGACATTCTGAATGATAGCATGGGAAAACCAACTTGCGTGGCCCACGTGGGGGCAGGCATTTTTATCTCACTTCCCATGCTGTGCTATTTCACACAACAAAATGGAGGTCTCTGAAGACTCCTGCAGGAGTAAAGTCTACCCTCTCTTCTGCACTACTCCCTGAAGAGGAGCTGATGCAGAACTAAACCTAGTTCTTTCAGGGTTTGATTTTCCCAAGCATTCCATTTCCGATACCAAGGTGGCATTTATCTATCCATGTTGTCTAACAGAACCTTCTGTAGTGTCCATCTCTGTTTTTAGGGTGGGACAAAAGTAGGTTTACAGTTTTGAGGATCCAAATCAAAAAGTTTATTCTTGTATTATCATTTATTAATTATTGTATTAGTTTCCACTCAATAGTAAGCCTACCTTTGCCCCGCCTTGTATATGCTGTCCAATGCAGTAGCCACTAGCTGCATGTGGCTATTGAGTACTAGTCACATGGCTAATCTGACTTAGTAACTGATTTTTAAAATTTATTTAAGATACATTGAACAGTGCAGTTTTATACAAAAATATTTGTCCACTTTTCAAATTATCATTTGATGAGAACCTTTATGTGATGCATACACTTGTATAGAGAGTATTTAATACATAGCCTCCCAATTTTCCTGGTTCTAATCTACTCTCTACATAGCAATCAGAGTAGCTGACCAGCTCCTTGACCTGCTTAAACACCTGTCAATGGGTTTCTGCCACTTTCAGGATCAAGTACCCCATACATATTTTCTCCTTTCTCCCTGTACCTCTATTTTCTTTGCCCAGCTTCATCCTATGTGGCCTTGAAAATCAAATGCCCTTCCCTCCAGGAAGCTTTCCTTGACCATCCCTTTACCTACCCCTCTCCCCCCTCGACCAGGCTGGTTGTGTGCTCTTCCTTTGTGCTCCCACAGGCACCCATGCTTTTCCTCTACCAGAACACTGATCATATTAGGGTATAATTACCGATGAAATCTTTTCCCTTTTGGACTGTGAGGTCCTAAGAACCATGGACAGTGTTATATTCACCTCTTTATCTTCAGAATCTTCACAGTCTGTCTCAGAAGAGAGATCAAGGAATGTTTAAGCAAATCATTCTAAAATGTGTTGGCTTCTGTATTTACTGGAATTATTCTTGTCAAATCCTTTTTAACCTATCACCCCATTTATGACTTAGAGCACACTTTGTGGTTTCATGGGTTTACCTCCCAAACACATTGCCAGCACCCAAGCCTTTCCCCAGCTGCTCCTCCTCTTCTTTGCCTGGCTGACAGCTATTCATTCCTCAAGTCTCAGCTAGGGAATCCATTCCTCTCATACGTCTTCACTGATTATTCCCACCCTTCAATTTAGTTTCATCTCTATGATCCTGTAGCACCTGGAATACTACTTAGCCTCTATCAAAGCCATTATCTCTTTTCCTTTCTCCGTGAACCCTTGAGGAGTGGGGGCCTAACTAGCAAGGCACTTGATGAAAAATTAAGTGCTCAATAAAACTGGTAGGAATGTGCAGTAGTGAACTTAGGAATTGTTTTCCGTTCCACAAACATTGAGCACTTAATGTTGAGGTCTGAGTTCGAATAGAAACCTGGCTCTTCAGACTCCCTTTGTCCATCTTCCTGTATTCAATGAAGTTAATTCCTACAGCTTGTTGGAGAGTGAGAATTTTTGAGCATGCTTCCAGAGAGGCCATGGACTATGCCCCAGAAAGAGTTATCAGTGCTGACACCAGGCCAGGCCTTGAGATACAGTCTCATGGCCCCTTCCCAGCATGTAGGCCTTCTTTCAAGAACAGAGCAGGACTGACTCCTCATAGTGTGGGTGAAATTCCCAAGAGGGAGAGTAAAGTGGTGACAGCACTATGCTGAGTACAAAGATGAAGAGATGGACCCCAAGCATCAGGGGAGCTCACCATCAGCTGAGAAAAAGAGAAGTGAATACTGCATAAAACACCCGTAAGTGTCAGGACAGTGATGCCCAAGGAACATTGGACCTCTGAGTGTTTGGGCACAGAATCACTGATTCTTAGGGGGCGTTTCAGCTGAAGACATTGCCAGGCCAGGCACCTTGTGGGTCAGGAGGAAAAGCGCCTGGGAATCAAGAAGCCTTTCCCAAGCTCCCAAAGTGGAGTAGCGCCCGGAGAAAAGCCAGCCCACCCAGTCCTGTGGTCAGCACCAGGAAGCCTAGGAGGCCATGCCAGCACTTCAGGTCCTCGTGCCCCAGAGGGGGCGGCGCATGCTCAGTAGCCAGGGTGCATGGCCTAGGGAAGAACAGCAGCGGAATTCCAGCCACTAGGACGCCGGGCCTCGAGGGGGCGGGGCTTGTTGCCTCGGGGGCGGGGCCTCGGGGCTTGGGGGCGGACCTCGGGTGAGCACGGCTCCCTCCCACCCTGCCGTTCCCCTGTCAGTCCCCCATTCCCCTCCGCCTCCCGCCCCCCCCCACCCCCCTCGCCCGCCTCGCCACGCGCCTGTCACCCTGCAGTCGGAAGCCCGTTGCCCTGGCAACCGCTGCGCCGCGTCTTCCCCAGCGAGCTCCCTTTGGCCCGCAGATCCTACCGCCCGCTCCCCACTGCCCCGCGGTTTTCGGGTGGGCTCAGAGGCGGAGGGACGGCAAAAAATGGCGGAGCGGAGCCAGACGGCGCTAGAGGCAGGTCTGTGGGGGCGTTCGGCCAGGGGAAGCACCGAGGCTGCACCTCAGTCCTGGGCCCTGAGGGGACGGGGACTTGTGTGTGGCCCTGCGCCTGAGGAGGCGCCGCCGCCCTGTATGTGCTCCATGGGGCTCTGACCTCGGGATCAGGGGTCAAGGGAGGAGCCTGCCCCTGGAGCGGCCAGCGGGGACCCCGGGGTCCTGGTGGCGCTGGGGTGTACCGAGGAGTGTGCACACCCCTGAGTGAACACGGACCTAGGCAGGGCTGGGACCTCAGGGAGGGCACAGGACCTCTGGGGGCTCATCCTTGGGGTAGGCTGTGTCATGGGGAAAGGGTATACAGGACCCTATGGGGAAATGTGAGGGCCCCCCAAAGGGGCATGGTTTGGGGAGAGTGACTCTGATTCTGAGGAGGCAGGTGTACCTAAGAGGAGTGTTCCTTAATAACCAAGCAGTGCCTTGGAAGGGGGTATACACACCACTGGGTATTGGTGTTTTGAGGAAGTCTAGTGCTTGAGGGTCGCCCCTGGTCACAGAGAAAAGTAACCTCATGTGGGTACATACAAGGACAAGAGCTCCAGTCCTTCGGAACCCTGCCAGAGGAGACTGGAGCCCCCCGAGTGTGTATGGGGATCAGTGAGCTTGAAGGTCATTCAGAATCCAAGGGGGTCATTCAGAATCCTATGGGTGGGAGATAAGTGTTTAAGAGGCGAGAATACTCACGAGAAGAGAGACCCAGGATCATATTCCTGAGGTGACCCCCTTGTAGATAGGGCTGTGCTTGGAGAGATAGTGACCTAAGTCTTACAGGATCATAGAAGACAGCAAGTCCTGTGTGTATGTGAGAAGGAGTTTGTCCCTAAAATGGGTGGGGGACAGAAGAACTGGATCCTCAATACAAGGGATAACTGGGTGTGTGTAGAAAAGCAGTGGTTTGGGGGAAATGAGTGGTGGTGGGTGATAGAAGTGGTATACATGATCTTGTATATGTGTCCTGATTAGGTATTTTGGTTACAAGAGTGACCCATTTGAATTATCCAGTCCTTAAGGGTTAGGGAGAGAGGTTTTGGTAAGACCATTCAGTGATTGGAACTAGAAACTATGAAACTATCAAAAATGCTTCAAGCGACCATTATCTCCCTAGACCCGCATGCTTTCCCTTTCTTTTGTGGCATCTTTGTTTCTTCCAAAAAGTAGTTCCTCTACTCATTTCATAGTTTAAGTTCTCTCATAACTTGAACACGCTTAGTATTCCTTTATTCATTCATTTACTCAATAAATTCATTCATTTACTCAATAAATAGTGAGTGCTAACTCTATGCTAGGAAACAAGTTAGGCACTGGAAACTCAGACATTCAGACAAATGTATTAATAAGTGCTCATTTGTTTCTAATTACTCTAATATGGGGTTAATGAAGTTTCTCATCTTAGACATCTCTATATACTGATGGAGTAAATTAGTGATAGGTAGTAGAGACAAAAATAGCAGTTAACATAGGCTTGCTGCATAGTAGGCATTTGATAACTATTTGTGATCCAAATGAACGGAACATTTTTTTTTATCTATATACATTTTTATGATTTAAATATTTGAATTTAGGCTATTGGAAGCTGAGGATGTAGACACAAATGTAGGGGAATATGGAAAAAAATTTTGATATTTTACAAAACAAAATTTCCTGAATTGAATACAATACAAACAGAATTGGTGAACTGATGATGGAATAAGCTCATTTAAAACTTCATTTGGCAGTGTCTGAGTCTTTAGGAAATATGGCAAAATAAATGTGACATGGGTTTTAGAATTAAACAGATAAGATTTAAAATTACAACTTTATCACTTACTGGGTAATAGTGCTTCTCTGAGCCTCAGTTTTATTCATATTTAAAATGGTGATACTAAATCTTTACTCAGTAAGGTTCTGAAGATGTACATAATTTACGTGTACAGTTAGTTATAATTTCTAACTAACTTACTGAATTAATTAATACTTTCTATTCCTTGAGACATGCAGCTTCATATATGATTAAAGAGCCTCTCTGATCATGTAACTACCCTAGGTAGTGGGGGAAAGCAACTTTATAAATGTGTATGGTTGGGACTTGCATTCTAATGTCATAAATACATTAAGAACTTAAAATACTTTTAATTAAAATTGGAAATATTATCCAAAGCAGTATTATTCTAACTTTCTGTTTTACTAATGTCATTACCAGTGTCCACCACAAGAATAGCAATGACTATGAGAGATGCGAGTAAAATGTTTGCAGCCTGATAAAAATGGTTGAAAATGTTTTGAACTTTCCTATAAAAGACTGAAAGGCCTTATCTCAGTTTAGGTATATCAGTTTTGTGGTGTCTTTGACATGAAGTTTAGTGTCACTCTTATAGAACTGGATGAAGAATCAAGTGGTTTAATGTTTATTCTTTTCTCTGAAGAAAGTGGGTCTTTTAATTTAATATAAAAGAAGTCTAAGATTTAACTTTGTAAAACAACTTTCCCCTATATTTTGAGGAGGGAATTACGATCTAAATTACTCTTTTTATTAATTCCTATAAGCTTATTTAATAAGGTCCTAAGAAAGAGGTATTTTTCTTTGTTTTACATAAACATTTGCAGAGTTAGGACTAATTTTAAATTGTGTTACACTGATTATATCTTTTCTGTCTCACTGGGAGATTTGTGTTTTGTGACTAGATTAGTAGTTTTTTTTAACTGGCTAAATTTTTTTAATTAAGGATCTCAATAGAAATCGAAGTTTTACATTTATTTTTAAAAAATCTGAAGTGTTATGTCCTCAGACAATGAGTTTTTTAACCAATTAGTAAACCAGAATATCTTCTCAAGCAAGGAGAGAATGAGTGAGAAATTTTTCTTTACTATTTGTACATCTGTACTCTCAAACAAACGGGACTACATCAAATTAAAACACTTGCACAGCAAAACAAAACAAAACAAAACAAAAAAACAAACTATCCACAAAATGAAAAGGCAATCCACTGCATGGGAGAACATATTTGCCAATAATACATTTGATAAGGCGTTAATTTTCAAAATACATAAGGAAGAACTAATAAAACACTGAGAAGACAACCCAATTAAAAAATGGGTAAAGGATCTAAATAGACACTTCTCCAAAGAGGACATTCTGATGGCCAATAGGCATGAAAAGATGTTCAGTGTCACTCCTCAAAAAGATGCAAATTAAAACCAGAAGGGTATATGACCTCATGCCCACCACGAGTGCTGGAGAGGATGTGCACTGTTGGTGGGAATTCATACTGGTGCAGCCAATGTGGAAAATAGTATGGAATTTCCTCAAATTAAAAATGGAACTGCCTTTGACCCAGTGATCCCACTTCTCGGATCCTAAGAATCTAGAAACATTAATCAGAAAGAATATGTGTACCTCTGTGTTCTATTTACAATAGCTAAGATCTGGAAACAGTACAAGTGCCTATCAGTAGATGAGTGGGTCAAAGAGTTGTGGTACATTTACACTAGGGGTGTCGAACTCAATCAGAGAAGGGGCCAAAATCTAAAATCCAGCCTAAATCGCTGGCCGAATGGTTTACTGAACAGTCATAAACTGTCATTGTGATGGAAACGCAGCGGAGTGCAGTGATGACAGCATGGTGCGGGCCACATTGCAAGGCCTGGCGGGATGGATTTGGCCCACGGGCCTTGTGTTTGACACATGTGATTTACACAAAGGAATACTACGTGACTGTATAAAAGAAGGAAATCTTTTCTTTGCAACAACATGGATGGATCTGGAGATTATTATGCTAAGCAAAACAACCCACTCAGAGAAAGACAAATATCACACAATCACACTTGTAAATGTAATCTGAAGAACAAAATAAAATTAGGAACAAAATAGGACCAGAGGCATGGATCTATGGCACACATTGATAGATCTCAGAGGGGAGGAGGATCGGAAGGATGGGAAGAGATCGACTAATGAATATATATTCATATGTGCATAGCCCATAGACACAGACAATAATGGGGTGAAGGCCTGGGGCATCAGGTGCGGGGTGGAGGGAGGCAGGGGTAGGAATGTGAGACATTAGTAATATTTTAAAAGGAGGAATTAAAAAACATTGCCGACCACCCTTGAAAACACTATCTCTGCACTTAAAACAGTGAGAATGAATTTTCTTATTGGAATAACAAAAGCACCCTTATCCTGTCCATATCTGCTTTGAACAATATATACTGTACTTTGGAACTTTAGAAGTTTCAATAAAATTGGTTTTCAAAAAGAGGGTTAAGTATTGTCAGAATAGATAAATTCCTTTGCTTCTGCTCTAGCAAGATAAATGCTCTTATATTGCTGATTTTAATTTTTTTCAAGCTCTTTATCTTTTTATGTATCAATTCAGTCTCTAAAAGAAATTAGAAATTATTAAAGTTTGTAAACTTTTAATCTCTAGCTTTCTGGATTTTTATTTTTTCTTCTCCTGATCTAGACTTTGTCTATCCTTTCATTACTGTGGTTAAGTAGAAGACATTGGCCTATAGAATAAATCCTAGATCTTTGGTTCCTTCTGCCTTCCATTTAAAAACACACACACACCATTTTCCCTCTTTTTATTACTCAGGTGTTACCTGTTTGGTAGGCCAATAGAAATCTCTGGTTCTTAAGTATTTCAGGTCTAAAGTGGATATGCTGCTTACTACTACTGCCAACTATCTTGAGTATTATAAATATTTAATGCTAAAGAGAATAGTCTAGGAAATATAATTTAAAAAATACCTATGTATATGGAATTTTCTAAAAATCAAGTTTGACTTTTAAATACCTCAGGGTTTTAAAAATGATAAATAAGGGCTTAAAATCCATTTTCCCCCCAATATTAGTTTTCTAAATCTAAGAAAACTGCTTCTGATGAAAAATAAAGTAATCATGGATGGGAATCACCAAGTTTCTTAATTCTGATGCTATATTTATAAAGCAAGTGTTATAAAGTTTTAATTAGTCATAAATATAAATAT